CAGATTTTACGTTTTCAGATTCAAAACAATTATTTTTTTGACCAATTACACCAGAGCATGCCAGTTAACCAATCAGAGCAGACTGGGCAAAATAAAGAGCTTTTTGAACATTAAAACATGGAAACATGTAGAGACACAAAATACAAATATGAACCTGGAAATTAGCATAATATATCCTCTTTATGTCAACATATTCTGCTTATTATCAAAAAACAGCTACACCTGGAGAACATACATGGTCTTCAAAGGGTTGAGACTAACCTGAGCCAAGTTATTATGAATGCAGCGGAGTGGTTTGATAGACCAAGGATAACTTAATCCCATAAAAAGATCCTGCCGGCTTCCCAGCTAATTGAAAGGGAAATGGGGGTCGAGAGAGTTAGAGCAGGAAGGAGGATGAGACGGTGTGGATTCCACCTTAGCGAAAGTGACAGTGACAGCAAGCGGCTGGCGGGCGCATAAGCCTCGACACCGACTAATTGCTGCGAGTGTGTGAATGCAATGCAGATGTATAAGTGTGTGTGTGTGTGTGTGTGTGTGTGTGTGTGTGTGTGTGTGTGTGTGTGTGTGTGTGTGTGTGTGTGTGTGCGTGCGTGTNGTTTCAGATTTTACGTTTTCAGATTCAAAACAATTATTTTTTCAGCTTCTGTGAAAAACGATCTGAAGGCGAAAAAAAGATTGAAACCTGAAAAAAGATTAGAAGCTGAAAAAATAATTGTTTTGAATCTGAAAACGTAAAATCTGAAACTGAAAAAAACAAGTATTCAAATATCAAAATATGTATAAAAGTGAAATATGAAAATAAATATTTTATTTAAAAAAATTGCTGAACTGAATCAAAATAATATTCAACCTGAACAATTATTTCAAATAATTTTTTTGTTTTGAATACAACATTGTATTTTCAAAGTTCAGGATTTCAAATAAATTGTATTTTTTTGAATGATCAAAACTTATGACCCTGAAATAGCTCCATATTCTAGCCAATATAAGCACAAGGGTTACATAGTAATGTCACTATGATACAGAAGTATATTGCAGACCATTTACATGCATGAAAACCTATATCACACACTACATACAGTAACAAATCCCCTGGACTCTAAATCACCTGTACATTTCACATTTATATCCAATCTAATATATCTAATATGTAATACTCCATTACTCACATAATTATGTATATCTAATATCCTGCTTTATATATGTCACTGTAAATTTGTAATTCAACATGTATATTTTCTACTTTTTTTTATTGCTATTTTATTGTTATTGAGATGTTGAAGTTTTTAAATGTGTATTTCTAGTCTTTTAATTGTATTGTACAATGCCAACGTCTTTTTATGCTGCTGCAACATAAAAAAGGTCCCAACATGGGATCAATAAAGTACTTCTTATCTTATCTTACAGGGAAGGGAAAATCCCCCAAAGGCCTTATAGGGCTTATTTATTTCTTGCAGTTCGTTAGTGGTACAGATGAAGTTGATTACCTTCTCATAGTACTTGACGTCGTACTCCAGGATCACCCCGTTGGGCCGGTTGGGTTCGTGCCACATCAGAATCACGCTGTTCTGACTGGTGTTCTCCTGGCGGATCGCTAACACTTCAGAGGGGGCTGCACGAGAAACAGGAGGGAAAACCGCTTCGTCAGTTCAAGACGGATTCCTTTATGACATGTAACTGCTGTAACGTCATGCTGCATTTCAGGAACAACATTTAAGCATCTTGCACATCTGAACAAATAGTGAACACTCCTATATATCTCTCAGGACAGCTTTTACAGTGGATCCCCAGCATTAAGAAACTCCCAGATGCTTACTTCTAATGTTGCGCAATTTGCATAATTAGCACAAGTTAAGTAGCATTGCTTAGCATGATAGCTATATCGGAGTGTTTCACACGACATCTATTGCACGTCTGTCCGTCCTGGACTCTCCCAGAGGTTTCTTAAATTTTTCCTTGTCCGATGTGAAGTTCCAAGGAAAGAGGGTGTCGTATTCATATTCTGTACAAACTATAAAATCCACTGAGACAAATGTAAAATGTGTGATATTGGGCTATATAAATACACTTTGATTGATTGATTTCTGGAGTGATAGAGGATCTACTTCTGACATGTTCAGGATACAAAATAACAGTTGGAAGCTGCGGTCATTTTTGCACTCACAGCGGGCCGAGTTTTGAGTTGATTTTGAAGTTTTAGAAGACGCTGGATCGTTTGTGTTGGACAGATTGCTTATCTATTTGAAAATAAATTGTCCACAGTGGTTCTAAATTCTGGGGACTCATACTACACA